GTTATGAATCTAATTATTTTGATCCAAATCAATTTTCAATTAAATTTCACCGTAGCCTCTAAAAATTACGCTAATCACAAAGGCGTAGTCAATTTCGGTTTCTATGGCCGATAAGGCCTTCAATTTTCAGTTTATAACAGTAAGTTGAACAGATATTCCTACGGTGAACAGATAGAAATTCAGAACCACATATATTCATATAAATGACACACCAAATCATATTAGACACATAATCACATTCATAATAAAGATCAATTAGCATAACACGGAACATGGTTATCACAACGGGGCTAAGGACTACACTACACGTCTCCGATCCCTGAAAGTGATAAATTCCCTGTCCCCACCCCCGATCCTGATCCAGGGCAGGGAACCCATCACCCCCCATTCCCGTCCCTTAACGGGTATCGGGTTTCCTTGACCCCGAAAATTCCCCGTGGTTTGATAACGGGCACCTTTGGTCTTTGGTCCGTTTGATAGAGTTATGGAAAAGTGATTATAACTTATATCTTAACAATTTATTACTTATAATTGTGAACATAAGCTGATTTTTGACTTATAAATTAAGTTTTTCCTCCCCACTCAAAGAATAAGTTGATTTTTGACTTATAAAAAGCTATAAGCTGTATTGTTAAGCTGAGCCAAACACATCAAAATAGCTTAAATTAAACTAAAAGTTGAAATAAGCTGAAAATAAGCCCTACCAAACAGGGCCTTTGTGTGCTAAGTTTGGGGACAAATTGTTTATGATTCTACCCTTGATGTAGAGTTTTAGGTCAAAGATATTGTTGAGAATGTGTAGCAATGCGAAAATTTAAGTTGTTCGTTAAATTTTATATTAGTATTATAGTTGTATGTGATAATATATTATTAAATACAGAATCTAATTTGGCATTGGATTATCAAATATGGGATTAATTAGGGATTATTATTTGGGGCCAAATTAACAGAAATATAGAATTATAATACTAGTTTGGTCAAATTAAAGTTAAAGATAGTAAATAAATAAATATAAAAGTAAGAGTAAGAGTAAATAAATAATAATATTGATAACAATAATAATGATAATAATAATAATAGGTGTGGTAGTAAAATAAATAATTAATTTTCTGTTGGTATACGATAGAGTGAATTTAATTAGAGATTGATTTATTTATATAGTTATATTAAAAAATTAGGTCAAAGTGTAATTATATTAAATATTTATTAAAGATAAATATAAATTCATGTAATTTATTATCAAATCTGGAGAGATATTCGACTTGGCCACGTGTTGGCCTGATGATGCCTTTATCTCCCCATAAATATGAAGGAGTGGATCAAAATCTAGGGGAAGGAAAGGAAAAAAAGAGAGAGGGAGAGGCACGTAAAATATTGGAAGTAGAAATTTATAGTAAAAAGATTGTGATAGTGGAAAGCAAGGTTAAGAGTCAATATTAAGGTGAGTTATATTATACCTTGCGTCACCATAATATATTTTACGTATGTTTTGACTTACCATAATTT